CTCAGGTATTGCTATGATAATCAGAACAATATTACTAGTTGGAATGAGGTTTTTTTTTAGATTTATAAGATTAATGAAAGGAATGAAATATATTGTTTTCTTCTTGTGCCTTGTGTGTTTATAAAAGATATAAGAATAAATGTTATAAAGATACAATGTATTATATTTCTATGACATATTTAACAAAGTAATGGTAGAGTACCATGGGTGAGATTCAGTTACACCCACCCACTTGCAGAAAAGTAACTGGGACTTCCAGTTTATTCCCTCCAGCCCTCCATGCCAACCCCAAATTATGCTCCAGGGCATCCCCTAACCCTCCAGAGCACAGCTTGTGGGGGGCACAAGGGATGGGGGGCAGAGGGATGGGGGGAGATGATGCATTGTAATGGACGACCCCTCGCAGTACATCATATTTTCTTCTGTGTGATTTGAATGCACTATACATGGAAATTATTACCACTGCCATCCATCTACCTCATAGAACCAAATTTTATCAGAAGACATTTCCCCCCTGGAAAAATTGCTAAGTCTTTTCTTTTTCTCACCCCATTAGACAAAGATAGCCACTTTGCAGAATTGACCCCAAATGTTCTCCAGCATTTTTTTCTGAGGCAGGCGGCCATTTCCCCAACCACCCTGCCACAATACCTCAGAATGATGCAAGTGTCTGAGCCACTGTGGAGGATGCAAAATGATGGCCAACACAGTTGCTACCATTATGTGCAAGGCTGGATTTAGATTTGATGAGGCCCTAAGCTACTGAAGGTAATGGGGCCCTTTATATGTCCAGCTGTCCTTTGTCAACAACAAATTGTCACTGTTTTTTGTGTTGAATATATGCTACATGGTAATTTATGGCACCTAATAGGTATCTAAAGCCATTTGCACGTAACAAAATATGTATTTTATCAAAGTAATTGTTGTACTGAAATACAATTAAGAAGAAGTATATTAATAGTGAAATACAATTAAGAAGAAGTATATGGGGGAGCAAGAGAGTGGGACCCTAAGATATAGCTTGTTTAGCTTATGCGTAAATCCGGCACTGATTATGTGCAGTGGTTGTGGAAAAACCTTCATAGAAATGAACAAAGCTGCACTACTGCCACTGCTAATTTTGCCTTTGGGCGAAATTGTGTGGAATTCTCTCTCTCTCTCTCTCTCTCTCTCTCTCACACACACACACACACACACACACACCAAGTTCACTGCCAAAAATAGGGTGGAGAATTCTAAGTTTGCATATAACTCCAGACTCCCTCTGACACATCCAGTCCTTGAGACTAGATATTGAGGGTTAACCTGGCATAACAGTTTTAATGTTAAAATATTCTTTATAAATTCTTGAATCCAGAAGCCTTCCCACCCTCCCCTAAATCTTTTTTGCATGGAAACCTAATTTAGATTAGAGATTTGATCAGGAAAAGGTCTCCAGGATTTGGCTAATTATAATTAAGCCCAGAATTTCCTCACATACAGAATTAAAGCGTTCTCCCAAATGGCTGCATTTCGGGTGGTGTGGAGTTGAAGGGTTTTCTTTCCTTTTAAACATTGGTGTCGGCAAATTTAGTAAGACATGAAGAGGGAAGGGTTTGAAAGATGGTTATTTTTATTAGTACAGATATACACCATGTAACCTGATTTCATTTAGAAGCAGATGTCAATTTCAGTATATATATTGTCTGCAGAAGAATATGTCACTGCCCAAGAAAGAGTAGGCACTCAGGTTTAATGATTAATAATCAATGGGCCTGCTGTCTTCTTTTTTATCATTACTATTCCTCAAAAAAGAAAATCAAAATGCACAATCCTATGCATGTCTACTTAAAAGAAAGTCCCATTGACTGGAATTACTCCCTGGTAAGTGCATAGACCTACCTGCCATGGGTTTTATAATCTTAGAGTGTCTAATATTGCTGTGGCCCTGAGTTCTGTTTAATCCTATATTTTGTACACTATCCTGGGATCCATTTCTCATTAAGGGTGGTTTAAAAGGGTGACATCCACATGTGGCTTCCTGGTTGCACAAACAGGACTTAGGCTTCCTTCCCTCAGTCTGCTTTGGAGGGTTCCCAAACTCCATGGAGCAAATTTGAAGGGTGGGATGCAAAATTGTGTCTGCTGACTAGATTCAACCCATTATCTATCAGTCTTTGCTTCCAGTCCCATCTGTGAAACTGGAATGATTTAACCACCTCCTTCAAAGAATGACAGGAAGGATAAATGAGAGAAGATGTAAACCACTTTGAATACACTAAAAGTATGTTATAAATAACAAGGATAGATTAATTCAAGGTGTAGGTTCTAATGGATGTCTATTTATGCCCCTAGTCATGTTTATTACTTTGTACATTTCCCCTTTAATCAAATTCCCAATCTCTTCTATTTAAATAAGTCTGTCCATTTTCAGATTTGATCGTCTACTGCTGCTGCTTCTCCTAACTTTGTTTCCTAGAAGGAAACACCTCCAGAAAGGATTGACGCGATGGAAACACTAATATTAAAAAAAACACAGTTTCTTTTTATGCTAATAGATGAACCATCTGCTAATATAATTTTTCACTAGTTGTACCCTCCTGGTGGTACCATAAGATAAATCCTACAGTGTCTTTAATTAACCAGAGAAAGCAGAAACAAATCTCAGTGGGATGATAATATTTATGGCCTTAGAAAGAAAGAAAACTAAGAAAGGAAAGAAAGAATGTAAGCCAATTTAGAGGAAATTAATTACATTCACACATGTTTTGGTACCGCATAAAAGACACAGGCAAAGGAAGGGTTGCAATACCTGGCTGTGTGGTGTGCTAAGTGGAGACACATCAACAAACATGATCAGGCTATAGCTATTCAACCACTGCAGCTGTGAAAAACTGGCATTTAAACGATGCTGGTATTTTACATAGATATTGTTAATTTTTTACAAGTGTTGCAAAATTTAAAAAAAAAACAGCAAAGAGATTACTGGTTGCAAATAATTCATCACAGGTAGAGATGGAGGTGAGATTAGATTCATTTCACAAATAAAGACAAGCCTACAAAATTTGCAGTTTCCAAAGCAGTACTTGAACTGAAACATGACCACCCTTTGAAATTTGCATTTCTCTTAATTTTTCAGTACAGTTTGCCAGCCAAGCAATGTGTACAAAAGTGCACACTGAAGGACCACAGATTCCCTATTCCTGACTTAGGGCACAATGCCAATAACAAGCCCAGTTAATAAACCATGCTTAAAACATATTTTTTTAAAAAAACAACAACCCAAAACCTTAAAATACAACCTCAAATTAGCAAATTATATTTTAAGATAATAAACAGTGCATTGCTCCTCAGCATTTTCCTTGGTCGTCTTTTTCCCCTTGGGTGCTTCCTGTTTTGTGTTTATGTGTGCAGAAGAGTGGGTGTGATAGAGTTCAATGCCTATGCCAGTTCCAAGCTGGCACAGCAATCAGATCCAGGAGAACCCAGACCAGCTCAGCCTCACTTCCTCACCTCCTGTTTGGGGGCTTTCTTCTTCCACCCTGCCGAACAGAAGTACCACCAGTGGATTTCCTGCCCACCTGCCCACCCCAGCCAGCAGAAACCTGATTCAGCCTGTAGAGATATAGGAAGGGGCACCTCCACCCAATTCAAACCCTCTCACCACAGCCTGGCTTAAGGGAAGTAGGGCTGGGCGATATCTGGTTTTCAACAGCGTGGTATATCACCAGGTAAATGTCACAATATACTGAGGTCCAGCGCCGAGGGCCTTCTGGCGGTTCCCTCGCTGCAAGAAGCCAAGTTACAGGGAACCAGGCAGAGGGCCTTCTCGGTAGTGGCACCCGCCCTGTGGAACGCCCTCCCACCAGATGTCAAAGAGAAAAACAACTACCAGACTTTTAGAAGACATCTGAAGGCAGCCCTGTTTAGGGAAGCTTTTAATGTTTAATAGGTTATTGTATTTTAATATTCTGTTGGAAGGCGCCCAGAGTGGCTGGGGAAACCCAGCCAGATGGGTGGGGTATAAATAATTTTATTATTATTATTATTATTATTATTATTATTACTATTATTACATATCACAATAGAGGAGCTAGCTGGCTTCACGGTTTTTCCTGCGTCATGCGTGCACATACGCACACGCCATAGTTCGCAATATATTACCAGGTCAAAAATTATGAAACCCATATCACAATATGGACTTCAAACTGGTTTAGGATTATATATCAATATATCGCCCAGCCCTAAAGGGGAGCTCGGACTGCTCTGCCCAGCAATGAAGTTTAGGCACTGCGTGATGTAGATATATAGCAGGACCGTGATACGGATTAGAGGCGGGAAACCTATAAAGCTAAGACTTAACCAATGCTGTAAATCATGCCGCCACCCTCACCACCCAAGCAATCATACTGAGGACTGTCATGCAGGAGTCCAAGTAGCAGCATAAAAATTCTGGAGCCAGGAAGAAGAGTTGCTACCAGGAGACTGAATTGCTTAATGCTTCATAGCATGTGAATTTGTGGTCAAAGATAATATGAAATACAGTATGTCATCATTGTTCTCTATTTTAGTGGCAGGTTGGCTGGAAAATTCAATCTTGAGCCCATCATATAAACACATCGAGCTAGGGAAAAGTTTCTCAAATGATTTTCACCCCGGCATGCCAATATCTACTCTGTGGATAGATATAATTATCAATTAATATAAAGCATCTCATTTTCTGTTAATTATAGATTGATTTGTTGAAGGCCCTGCTTCATTAGGGAGGACGTTCTCTAGGTAGATGAAGGAGCAAACTCTTCACGCAAAAAGGAGAGCCTGCTCATGATCTGGGAAGATTTGCCCTTGCATCCTTTGAAAAAAGAAAAAAGATTTCTCCTCTTGTGGGAAAAGAACTCTGCATGTGCCCTGGGGTACTCATCCAGGATTTTTGCAGCCGGAAGGTGGCTTCCACACAGTTTAGCTACCCCAAACTTTCACTCCCGTTCATTCATGGGAAGGCTGGCAGCTCAAAGATGCGGTGCGGATTAGCTCCATCAGTAGAGCATAAGACTCTTAATCTCAGAGTTGTAGGTTCGAGCCCCACATTGGGCAAAAAGATTCCCGCATTGCAGGGGGTTGGACTAGATGACCCTTGTGGTCTCTTCCAGCTGTACGAATCTAGTCACAGTAAAAGGGTCCCGGATTTAGGATGGTATTCAACTAAGTTTTACTCAGCATACTCGTTGAAATTAATGGACCTGATTCAATCGCATTTGTTAATTTTGATGTGTCTACTCTGAGTAAAACTTAGTTAACAACCTTAATTTTCAGCATCTCCAGTTAAGGCTGGAAAGGACTCTTGTTTAAAACTCTGCTGCCAGTCTGTGTGGAGAATACAATGCTGGACAGCACCAATAATCTGATTTGCTAAGGTAGCTTCCTATGTTAGTTAATGAAGATTTAAAAGAATGCCTTGGGGTTAGATTCAGTGCTAGCCTTGGGCTGCACTTATGGATAGAGCAGGGGTCAGGAACTTGCAGTCCTCCAGATGTTGCTGGACTCCAACTCCCATCAGCCCCAGCTAACAAGGCCAATGGTCAGGGGTGATGGGAGTTTTAGTCCAGTGATATTTAGAGGAAGATCAGACTTTAGATCACACAGTGAGCCTCAACCAGTAGAGAAGGATCCCTCCACTGCAGTTCAGCTCCCAATGTGTGGATTGTGGTGTGCCTAGACAACTGTGATGCAGTAAAAGGGATTGGATTAGTACACACACACACATTCACCCTCCTTATCACACAAGAGGTATAACACCTAAAAAGGGCTTTGAGTACATATGGAACTCTGGACTGGAGTATCTGCAACGATATGAAAAGCAGACAGACGCAATGCCTGCATACAAACATCATGGAAGTTCTCTGCATTTAGAGTAAACATTATTTTAGGCCCTATAACTTACGACCAGTAAATCTGTATTCATGCTACTATTATTACCTGATCAGTTTGCAAATTACAGCTTCGGTGTGTATGGAAGCTGCGAATCATTACAGAAGGAGACATCAATCTACAAGGTCCATCTTAGTTGAAGACTCCTAAGAACATTTTCCACTCTCTGTGCAAAAAAATTACATCTGTCAATACTTCAATTTTACTTGAGCCAGGAGAAATTAAGGTGTGACATCTAGTCAGAGATGGTTGTCAGCAAACTGATGACTGCATACCATAATTAAGAAGGAGAGGACAAATTTATGCAGCTTGGTATAAAACAGAATATATTTGGTAGAAGAACATTTTTCAATATGAATTATTTTGTGGGAGGCTATTTTAGCAAACTCCAATTTTATATTCTTGTTTTCTATATATAAGACTATTTTAAGATATACTGACTACTCAAAGGATCATTTATAGGCACATAATAATAGTAATAATAACGCTGTAGCCTTAAATGAAATAAGCTCAAAAGGACCCACATATGACCTGAAAGTCCTTACTTAGTCACCCTATTAACTTTCTGAACACCATAGCAAGTGTGTGTCAGCTGCTTAAATTAAGGGAAGATTAATTAAAATTATACAAATATTAGGTGATGAGGGTCAACCTCTATCACCCTAATACCTATGTTTCAGAATACTTTACATTTTTCCATCAATACGAAATGTCCTTATAATAGTAATGTTCCAAATAGTGATTCTTTGTCCTTCTAATGCACATGCCAAAGACCATGAGGGAAAGGTCTTCTAGAGAATACAATTGTGTTGCTTGCAGGGGGGGAGGGGAGAACACCTGAGAGAATTTCAGAGAAAACTGGGAAAGCTGGAAGGGAGCAGGAAATAAAACTGGGACATCAGTGAAAAGGAAAACCAATCCTGCCCTTTTCTTTAAACACACACACACACACACACACACACACGGTTGGATTCAAAGGTGCCCTTCTGTTCATGTGTCCCAGGAATCCTCATATATCGGTATCTGTGCATTTCTTAATGATCCAACCTGTTTCTGAGTCACTCTTTCCTCTCTCTGCTTCGATATGTAATTCGGGTTCCAAGTCACTCTGTATAAAGCAAAGCTCAGTGCTGGCCCATTCACTCTTTTGGGAAATCTAAAATCAGCTATAACTGTTTTCTGTTTGGCAGAGGAAGAGGACCAGGCGACTCTCCAGAGTGGATTAAGCGTGCCAGATTGTAGGTTTGGGAGCTTTTATGAGAGAAGTCACTTTCCTCCATAATCCACATTATGGACAATTCCAACCAATACCACTATTAGACCAACTACAATTCCATAATCTGTTTTAGGTTCATATTTCTGGGATGGTGGTAGAGTGGGGAGCTATGTCTCTTGATCTTCCTTACCATCTAATAATTATAAAGCAGTGTTGTGTGTATACTTGCTTGCACTTTAAAAACAAATCATTATCAGCTTCACACTGCCATGTTAGCATTCCTGGGGTGTATTTGTGTTCAGAGGGGACATCCTTCAGTGGACATCACAAGGTGAGGCTGTCCCTAATGCTGCCTGGGAAGTGCTGAAGAATGCCAGATAAATTTTTTTCCAAGCAGAGCGGCATATTATTTTATTTATTATTATATTATATTATATTATATTATATTATATTAATTTCAAAAGCTACTTAAAGAAAAAAATTCCACTGCTCTGTTTTAACAGAAAGAGAAAAATGAAATAATCCAGAACAATTCAGTGCCCTGGAGGCAGCATCTAGACCTCACTTCTTGCAAAGCACAGAAACACAGAAACTGAGTGTGTTGAAGTAAGACACCTGACGTCCTATTTAAACATCTGTGCTGTGTTGACCTTGAACTGGCATCTCTGTGACTCAAGCCCAAGCCAGGTGTACTTGCATCTTATCAGGCTCCCCTGTCACAGGGAGGTTTCCAAGCACCTTCAACAGAAGGCGCTTAAAGACTATCTGCAGACCTTCACGCTAAATACACAGAGGCCTAAAGAACGCCTGGGGATATTGTGGGAGGGGCTTGCATGCACACCCCTGTCCTTGGCAAACACTTGAATAGAACTTCACTCACCCTAGATTATTTCACTGTTCCTGACCTACTATTTAGAAATGAACCATTTCCTTGAATTGCAGCAAGATATTTGATCTGAAGGCAGCATTTTTCAAGGACCTGCTCTTTGTGACACACTGTAGCCTGGAATATGTGTGCTGGACTGAGCTTGGCTGGGGCTTTTGTCTTTCTTATGTGCTCCAGATCACATCCTTCTATGACTCTAGAAATAATAAAATCAATTGGGTAACCCTGGGTTTTTCCTCTTCCTAAATTCTTTATTCTATTTTTATTTGTATATGTTCCACTGCCAGCCTAAAGACGTACAGGAAATGCAGTTCTTACGGACTGACGTGTAATATCAACAGAATTTCAATGGATTTCACTGAAGTCCTCCCAGCTACTGTTTCTCCAAACCAGAAACTTCACCCTCACCTTTTATGAAGGCTGGATTGAAGAAGAGAATTCTCATTCTGAACAGTCTATTTTTACAGCAACTTATCAAACAGTGGCCTTTAGCTGTTGTTCTGTGACAGCCACTCTATTAAAATCCTGATGTAAACAAGTGGAGAAGGTGAACTAGAAGTGCAGATATTTGCACAGCATTACTGTCAGGTAAAATTTTAAAGATAGGTTTTATGAACCCATTACTTGCAGTCAAGGCTTTTGACTACAGCATCAGAAATCATAGAGGAGACAAAGTGTTTTGATGAAACACGCTGCTGGGAATCAGTACGTAGCTTCCTTTTATGTAATTCAATTTAGTACAGGGCTTCTTTTTCCACCCATGTTAAGTGAAAAATCTAGCTGGGAAGACATACGGGCGCCGTGTACGATTGCAATATGGTTACCTTCCAACGTGATTAATATTAAAAGGCCTTTTGTTATCGTTTAGCGCCTAATGCATGCATAATTGCATTGTACAAATAGACCGAGGGTGATATTTGCATGAGGTTTCGCTAAGTCAACCACACGGCAACAAATACACAGACATCCAGGGGAATCCCCATCACCTGTGTGTTTGCTTTAACCTTTGGGAGGCAGGTGTTTGAAGTGGTGCACAATCTGTGTATAGAAACCTCTTATTTATCAGGATCCTGTCTGTGAGGAAGGCTGTCAAGCTTGCAACAGGGCCTCAGTAAAATTCCATCAGAGAGCAGAAAATGGGTGCCCTATGGCTTGGTACGGAGGCACAAACCAAAGCTGAAAACAACAACAATGACAACAACAACAAAACAGATTTCCTCTCTGGCCATGGAGCATTTGATAGCTCAATGCAGTCACAACGTGCCCATTCCATTGTGTTTTCTCAAACCCAACAGTCTAACTCCCCCCTATCCTTGTTTAATTTTGCATTAAATCTTCAGCCAGCCCCTCTAATGCCCTCAGGCCAAACCATATTCTCTTATTATTTGGCCCTCGTAACAGCTGTCTAGAATACACACATTCCCTGCCGCACAATTCCAGCATGACCTTGCAGACAACCATGATAATCACATCTCATGGATTGGGTTTTTCTCAACATCCGTCTTTTCACTAAAGTCACTAACTTGCACCATGTTCAAGTCCCAATTTGCAACTATACTGATGATCACCGATTATATCTACGTTTGTTCTTCATGATGATGCATTCATTATTTAGACAGTTCCCACACAGACTTTTATTGCATGCATCAAGGTAATGGGGCCAAACTAGTCTAATCTGGAAACTGAACACTTCCAAGGCCAACTGTAATCAGTGTGTATTTCCCCCTTGCATTTCCTGTATTCCATGATAAACTGGGATACAAGGAAGAAGCAAAAACCACGTGATTAGAGATTTTTCCTTTGTGACATCCAGCAGCCCATACGCTGCCAACTTCAATGGAAGTGTGGTGATGGAAGGGTGTGGCATAATCAGACATTTGGATCTGAAATATTTCACAATGAAGGAGAAGACATCATGCTCTACCAAAAAATTTGCTTTCACGGGTATTTCATTCTCTTCCCACAAACAACCCATTGTACATGAACAGGGCAGATTTGTGAATGGCATAATGTGAATATCCAGTGCATGCATAACAGACCTTCCAAGTGTCCCTGTTTTCCAGGG